ACAGAACATGAGGCCGTAGTATATGTCAAACGTCACCCATCAGGGACGTCGAAATAAGATTGGGTTCACTTATCAAATTACTCGGTTCACTTATCAAATTACTCATCCTTATCAATATTTCTGAATGTAGACTGTTGAACGTTTCACAGCCTTCACTTTTAGTGCAGACACACATCCAGGGATTATGGTTTTCGGGGCAGACTCTGAAGCAAAAATAGTGATGGTGCTTTGGAGCGACCATAAGTGTTTTCCGAGCAGAAAAAAAGAATCATTTTGCAGCCGCTATCAGTGTTTTCAGAGTAGGTGACAAAATATTCTTCTAGAGTTTTAAGCATTGTTTAGATATCCCAGAAATACTACTACGTATAATTAAACCTACTGTACACACGAAAATCACTTAGAATTTCAGGAGACAAATCATTAAAAGTATGGATGGTCATTGAAGATTAGAAACATATATTTAAAATGCCACTACTTGTGGGGCAAACGATAATACAGCAATAACGTTCAAATAAAGGCTTCGCCGGTGAACCATTCGGTCGGAAAAAATCATAGAAATGCGAGGGCGCCGACCACAAGAGAAAAATGTACAACGTTTCGGCACCCAGAATAAAAGACTTCTTTGTTCACCGAGACATTGAGCATTTTTCTCTTGTGGTCGGCGTACTCTTATTTTTATTCAAGCAATAAATCTGAGCATGATATTACAAAGCAGCCACAATCACAAGTAACCATTGCCAACGCAGCACTTCATTACTGGTACGTGTTCAGTATGGTACTTTCATACTTCGCCAAAAATAGGCAGCTTTCAAAATTTCACAATTAGGACAAGTTAAATTAACTAGAGTTAAAATGCCTCTTGTTATGGCATGAATAAAGTCAAAAGAGATAAAATTATAAATGTAGTCACAGCAGTTAGTAATTAGTATGATATTGAAGAAATGTCACACACATTTAACCAAAATTGTCTGTAAGGTACAAATAAGTATATCGGCAAAGACAGTCTCACGTGTAGTTATTGTCAATATGCTAGTAGACAGCTGGTGTACGAGTTGCTCATTATATGGCCGTACATACCTTGTTTTTGTTTTTGTTTAGGCTCACTGGATGGTCACGCGGTTAAAGTTAACTGTTTTTTGGTTTCCCAGCGCTATTTGCGAGCAGGCTCGGAGCAGCTACCACCAAATATAATTCATTGGAGCAGCATGTGGCAGCATTTCGCTTTTGTAGCAGCTATTCCATCGCAGCATATCTATACGCTTTCCAGTGCCGCGTCAAGATCTAAGACAAATAGGTAGATAAGACCCCTTATATGGGGTCTGCATCACTGACGTTTCCCTTCCGGTGACAGGGTGAGAAGTTTTTTTTCACCAACCAGTGAAGAAACAATTTAGAAGTATTGATAATGATGTTGATGATCGTATTTATTGGCACCCCCTTTAATATGACAAATAGTTAAACCTGGCCTGTTTAATTAGTGGATTTTATTAGATCTATTGCACTCTATCATTTCGGTTATCTGCTGCTTCATTTTGCTCTTCATACGCACATCTAATTCTACTACCTTTAGAGAACCCCAGAAGGTCGAAACTTCCGGAACCCTCCCCTACGGCTTCTCTCATAATCATATGGTGGTTTTGGGGTGTTAAACCCACATATCAATCGATTTCTACTACCTACGACAGTACCAAATCTACCTCAGTGATTCCCTTTCCTGTCTCTTTTTCCGCCAATACTCTAAGCTTCTCCTTATTAATTATCTGAACCCCCGAGCAGTTGGTACGTTCACTCTGAATATTAGCGCCTCGGAAAGGTGAACTGCGGATTTTGCTGGGTAAATGTTTCTAATGCATTGCGAGTGATTTCCGGTCCGTTGCTGCAGCAAATATCCTGTTGCCAAGATTTGCTCTGCATGACGTACAAGATGTTTTCACGCCATCTCGTGTCAGCCATGCTCTGGTAGGCAAACACGCGACATATCTCAGACTGGTTTGGTTCAGCTTCAGCCCACAACATCATACAGAGCCTGTACAGAACTGGAGCCACCTTTATGGGAGTCGTGAAAGTCGTCGTTCTAAATATCGGGCGACTCACGTTTGTTCCGATGAGCTCAATGGGAAACAGAATGGCGGGTGACCACATGCCGAAGAAGGTGACGCTGTCCGTGTTGTCCTTCGCCGAGTAGGACACCACCGCAGGCACCGGGCGCCTGGACCCGGAGTGCTGGCGCCTGTCCACCGCGAGGTAGGAGTGGCGCTGCACGAACGGCCCGTGATTCATAGTGGAGGCAGCGAAGAGTGATTGCTGCTGCAACAGCTTCTTGCCCATGTCACCAAGGAACAGTCAGCGTTAAAAACTGAGCTTCTGGGAGCGTTGGCTGTTCTAGTTGCAGCTGTACGTAAGCAAGGCCCTGGAGACAGGTTGCCTGCTTCCTTGTTCCTCTGTTGTGACTCTTACCCACTAAGGGGAATTGACCAAGAAGCCGGCGGTTAATGTAAATGAGCAATCAATGATAATGCAGGGTAAAAAAATGTGAGTGCTTTGTTTTTTTAACAGAATATGGTAATTTTGACATTAAGAAAGAAAGAAAAGTAAGAAAAGAAATTAATAGAATGTTTCGAATGACTTAGAATTATTCATAATATATGATTCTTTAGTAGATCAAATTACTGCAGTCTAATAATGACTTACATAATACTAACTTTAAGCTTGGTTTCGAACGAGAGTTGAGGAATGACTGAGCTAGGTATTATCCATTTGTTGCATAGGGATTCGCAGAGGGCCCGAAGACAGCTCAGCGGAGGCGCTTTCGGTAGGGCTCTTCTTCGTCGCCTCGCGATTCCGTTGTTCGTCAAAATGTCATCCACATCAGTATCGTTACTGTTTCGGTGCAAACTTAAAGATGAAACTCTGACCACTGTTGTATGTTCTCTGTAAGACTATGTTTCACCTATAATGGTAAAATGAACACTAAGCGTTCAGGGAGTGGCTTGTCAAAATTCACTTAGTTATCGGACAAAGTGATATTTAACGATACGATTTCCTCATAAGAAAAAAATTCTTCCAAAGCAAGCTGCAGGAGGTGGGGACGCACATAAAAAGCTAAAATCTCACCAATTAGTTCATTTGTCGTTTTTAAGATCTTATAGCAGTTGATGCTATGAGAAACGCCGTGTGGATGACTCCGGGCAATCTCCACTCCTTTAGGCTCTTTAACGTGCACTGAAATCACGCAGACACTGAGGAATCACGGCGTCGACAAATACAATAAACATCCTAGAAGAAATCTACAGAAGATCAACTGCCACCATAGTGCTCAATAAAAAAAGCCACAGAATACCAATCAAGCACGGTATAAGACAATGGGATAATATCTCACCAATGCTATTAACCGCGTGCGTATACAGGAGGTTTTCAGAGGCGTAAAATGGGAAGGGTTAGGGATAAGACTAAATGTAGAGTACCTGAGTAACCTGCGCTTCGCCGACGACATTACATCGCTGATTAACTCAGGAGACGAATCGCAACTCATGATTACTGAATTAGGAAAAGAGAGCCGACATGTAGGTCGAATTATTTTGCATAAAACGAAAGGAATATCCAACAACCTCGGAAAAGAATAGCGTTTCGAGATAGGTAATAGTGCACTTAAAGTTGTAAAAGACTACGTATACTTAGGACAGGTAATAACCATGGAGCCGAACCACAACACTGAAGTAACTATAGAATAATAGGAATTGGATGGAGCACAATCGGCAAGATCTCTCAAATCATGCACGACTGGTAGATTGCCACTATCCCTCAAGTGGAAGGCGTATAACAGCTGCTTCTTGCCGGTACTTACCTACGGGGCAGAAACCTGGAGGCTTACTAACAGGGTTCAGCTTAAATGGAGGACGACGCAGCGAGCAATCGAAATGAAAATAATAGGTGCAACCTCTTTAGGAGACAAAAAGAGGGCAGAATGGATCAGGGAACAAATCAGGGTTAAGGATATTATAGTTGTGTCAGCGGCACTCGAGTTCGCACAGCTGAATTCTCCGGCAGCGTCTCATTCTCCGGCAGCGCCTCCTTCTCCGGTAGCGTCTCCGTGCTTGCTCGGGAAACGCTGCACTGCGTTAACGTGGACTCCGAGCCCTGAGCGAGTCCACTCGACGCGGTTGCCCATTGGTTCAACGAACATTCAAAAAACAAAAGTGAGCCTTCGAGCCGGGACCGCATAGCAACGCATCGCCAGAGAGAAGAGAACGAGCCGAGATTCGAGCCGGGACCGGAGAGCAACGCATCGCAGAGCGAGCCGAGACGCGAGTGGCTTCGGACGTATCCGATCGAGCTCCTGCACCAAGTCCAGTTTCCTTATACATGTAACCGCTGCCGATTCACCTGTAACTTAGCACAATACAGTTTTTCTTATAATTTGAACCTTGCCTTCACTACATTCATTCGGACATCGCTGACAGTTGAAATCAAGAAGAAATGAACATGGGCCGGGCATGTAACCCGTATATACATAGGTAGGATAACTGTTGGTCAATAGGGATAACTGGCAGGATTCCAAGAAAAGGCAAGCGGGTTAGGTGGAGACAGAAAGTTATGTGGGCAGATGAAATTAGGAAGTTCGTGGGTATAAAGTGGCAGCAGCAAGCACACGACAGAGTTGAGAGGTGGAACATGGGAGAGACCTTTGTTCCGCGGTAAACCTAGTCAGGCGGTGGCGCCGCCGCCGCCGCCGCCACCGCTGCCGCTGCCGCCGCTGCTGCTGCCGCTGCTGCTGCCGCTGCCGCTGCTGCTGCCGCCGCCACCGCCGCTACCGCTGCCGCTGCCGCCGCCGCTGCCACCGCCGCCGCCGCCGCTGCTGCTGTCGCCACCGCCGCTGCCGCTGCCGCTGCTACCGCTGCTGCTGCCGCTGCTGCTGCCGCCGCCACGCTTCCGCTGCTGCTGCCGCTGCCGCTGCCGCCGCCACCACCGCTGCCGCTTCCGCTGCTGCTGCCGCTGCCACCGCCGCTGCCGCTGCCACTGCCGCTGCCGCCGCCGCCACCGCAGCCACTGCCACTGCCGCTGCTGCTGCCGCTGCCACCGCCGCTGCCGCTGCCACCGCCGCCGCCACCGCCGCCGCCGCTGCTGCTGCTGCTGCCGCCGCCGCCGCCGCTACCGCTGCCGCTGCTGCTGCCGCTGCTGCTGCCGCCAACGCCACCGCTGCTGCCGCTGCCGCCATCACCACCGCTGCCGCTTCCGCTGCTGCTGCCGCCGCCGCCGCTGCTGCCGCCGCCGCCGCCACCGCCGCCGCTGCTGCCGCTGCCGCCGCCGCCGCCACCGCCGCCGCTGCTGCCGCTGCCGCCGCCACCGCCGCCGCTGCCGGCACCGCTGCTGCCGCCGCCGCCGCTGCCGCCACCGCTGCTGCCGCCGCCACCGCCGCCGCCACCGCCGCCGCTGCCGCTGCTGCTGCCGCCGCCGCCGCCGCCACCGCCGCTGCCGCCGCCGCCGCCGCTGCTGCCGCTGCCGCCGCCGCCGCAGCTGCTGCCACTGCTGCTGCCGCCGCCGCCGCCACCACCACCGCTGCCGCTTCCGCTGCTGCTGCCGCCGCCGCCGCCGCCACCGCTGCTGCCGCCGCCGCCGCCGCCGCCACCGCCGCCGCTGCTGCTGCCGCCGCCGCCGCCGCTGCCGCTGCCGCTGCTGCTGCCGCCGCCACCGCCGCCGCTGCCGCTGCTGCTGCCGCCGCCGCCGCTTCCGCTGCTGCTGCCGCTACCGCTGCTGCTGCCGCCGCCGCCGCTGCCGCCGCCACCACCACCGCTGCCGCCGCCGCCACCGCCGCTGCCGCTGCCGCTGCTGCTGCCGCCACCGCCGCCACCGCTGCTGCCGCCGCCGCCGCCACCACCGCCGCCGCTGCCGCTGCTGCTACCGCCGCCGCCGCCGCCACCACCACCGCCGCCGCTGCCGCTGCTGCTGCCGCCGCCACCACCGCCACCACCGCCGCCGCCGCTGCCGCTGCTGCTGCCGCCGCCACCACCGCCACCACCGCCGCCGCCGCTGCCGCTGCTGCTGCCGCCGCCGCCGCCGCCGCCACCGCCGCCACCGCCGCCGCTGCCGCTGCTGCTGCCGCCGCCGCCGCCGCTGCCGCTGCTGCTGCCGCCGTCGCCGCCGTCGCCGCCGCCGCCACCGCCGCTGCTGCTGCCGCTGCCGCTGCTGCTGCCGCTGCCGCTGCTGCTGCCGCCGCCGCTGCTGCTGCTACCGCCGCCACTGCTGCCGCCGCCGCCGCTGCCGCTGCTGCTGCTGCTGCTGCTGCTGCTGCTGCTGCTGCCGCCGCCGCCACCGCCACCGCCACCGCCGCCGCCGCCACCGCCACCGCCACCGCCACCGCCACCGCCACCGCCGCCGCCGCCGACGACGACGACGACGACATCACACAGCAGACGGGCCACAACGATTTCACCTTCATTGATTGCGAAAGCGACCGCTACGGCCGGGACTTTCGGGCCTTTCAAGTCAGCAACCGAGCGCTGGAACCACAGTGGATTCACTGACAAACAGCGGCAGTCATACACATATTAGGTGATTACAAAAAATCCCCTGTGAAATTTTAAATAACTTATTCACGGCGTATAGAGTTCACAAGCCATATCCATTTTTAACGAATCTTCCACGAGATATTCATTCTAAAAGTGCTGCGAACTACATGGGCGTTGTCGTTACTTTTGTACTTCAGTGCGCAAAACGGCGTTATTTAAAATAAAGTCAAAAAGTATCTCGAACAGCGCATTTTCACCGCAAGTTTGAAGGGGCATATCTCAACATCCCCTTTGACCTACAGACCCCCTTCCACGCCGATATGCCCTGAAATTAAGCTCCACAGATGCTATTCTTCAATCGCAATAATACCATAATGTAGGTAAATTGAAACATAATTAGCTTATCTGTTCATTTACAGTCAATTAGCGTAATTTTATATTATGGACGTCAGCTTAGGCGTGCGCAGAGCGAGAGTGCCTGGTCGATGGGGGGGGCGGGGCGGAAGGAAGTTCGTCGCAGTTAAGGCAATGCATGGGGCAGACTTTGCGTTCTCCCCCCCCCCCATCCGTGCTAACGACTTGACGCCAGTCTTATCAGATGGTGATGATGATGATTCCTAGAAAAGTGACACAACCAACCATGGGGGATCGGCCACGAGGCGTGCGGCAGTAGAATTTGTGAAACAAAATAAAGAAATAATAAAAAAGAGAAATAGAGAGGGGAAAAGAGGGCAAAATATGCAAAAAATTATCAAAACAGTAACCAAATTATTTGTGACAAACTTTGGTGTCTTCTAATGCAATGATACCTAATGTTAAACATCTGAACTTATAATTGATATAATTAGGGTGAATGAATAAATGAAAGATCACGTTTTAGATGTACTGATAGCGTTAACATCGCGGTCTATTTGATTCTTTTAAATGATTAAATATAGCATCGTAAATGACCGTGTTGCAGTATCCTACACCCCCATGAAGAGCAATGCCGATGTAGAAAGCTCAAGGCCCCTTTTTGAAAAGCTGGTTTCAGACATCTTTGCCTTAGATTATAATATCTTCGACACTCCATAAACAAATTCTCGAACATTTTTGCTTCGATACAAAAAATTCAATAGAAAGAAGGAACAAATCCGGGTCTGCGTAAATAAAAACTTAATGACAGTAGTCTGCACCGCAATTTTGTTAACGTAACTTCCAATTGTCTTGCGCAGCACCATGAGATATTCAACGGATACCCAATGCACTGGAAACTTGTGTCGTTCAGTATACAGTGGATTTGGTATGTTTCTCGTGCAGATAAATGTTTCTAAATAATGCGAACGTGTTATTTCGGGATGGTTTTAAGATGTTTTGGACAGGTCCTTTACCAGATGCTGCTGCTAGGGTATCCGCCGCTTCATTTAATTCTAATACAGTGTGGCCTGGTAGCCAAACCAAGCGGACGTCCAGCGCATGATTTGGCGTATACGAATGAAGTTCTTCGAGGCAGCTTGACAAGTGAGATGCTGCTAGAGCAGTGCACACGGACAAGGAGTCTGTTAGCACCACTAGTGAATAAGTGTGTGCTGGGAGTTTACGCAGAGCAAGAATAATTGCCTTATTTCTGCCATGAGTAATGGTTTGAATGCGGGCAAGCGAAGAGAAAAGGACCGACTGAGATCCATTGAATAGATTCCCACTCCAGCCTTCACGTCAGCTACAGGAGCTTCTGTGTATACTACTGGATTTATCCGCACGCTCTTGACGTGGTCTTCCAACAACCATATTAAATGTCTGGTGAGTAATAGTTTAGCGTTTTTTTGGAAATATATCATCACTTGATATTACCACTGTAGGAGTAAGTGCGTTTGGGTGATTTATATCCCGAAGTGATACTTGTAAAGGTTCCAAAATCTTCTTCGCGAAAAATATTTGGGATCTATGTAGCCTATAGACCACTTACATTGAAAAAAAATGTGGAAGGCTCATTAAGAAACACATATAGAGATCATCTGCGTGGGGAGGCAGACATAGTTAGGTGCATTTTAACTGTTAACATTCGGAACCTAGATTGAACAGATGGCAGGTATGCTTCGTAATAAAGTAAATTGTTGGCTACAAATTACGGAAGGCCGAGACATGCGTAATTTGAACGCCGCGCCGTTCAAATTACGCATGTCTCGGCGTTCAATTACGCATGCCGCGTCCAACGTTCAACGTTCATGTCTCGGCGTTCAATTACGCATGCCGCGTCCATGCGTTCAATTACGCATGTCTCGGCGTTCAATTACGCAAGCCGCGGCGTTCAAACAGACTACGTCTGTTTGAACGCCGCGCCTCACGTTCCAAACTTAAAAGCGACCGTAATTTAAAAGCGGCTCTCCAAGAGAACAATACACACATAACTCTAATATTGGGCGGGCGTACGTATAATAGATTATTTCAAAATGTTCCCTATGCATTCCAAATCGACTGCTGATGATTTGCCTTAATAATCTAACTGCATATGAACTTTTAGCTGCTATATACTCAACGTACGGGCTACTATTAAGCTTCCCTGTGTATATTGTGCCTAGATACTTCAATGAATCTACCTGAGCAATATAGGCCTGTCCATACGTTAGTGAAATCACACAGGAAAAGTCAGCGGGAAAGCAAGAAGGGCACTTTTGTTAGCAAAAGGGACATATTCAAACAGTTAGGCCACATTTCAATGTCATCTAAGTATGCCTGTAGAATGTTGTGCAGCGAAATTATATCAGTACAAGAAGCAAATAATGCAATGTCGTCTTCGTACACTTGCACGAAATTATGCAGGGGAGTTCAGCTTAGTACTATATTAAATAAAATGAACGAAAAAGTGATCCTTGAGCAACTCTCCTTGTTTTTTGGTATGTTTGAGAAGATGAGTGCTTCTGCGAGGAATAAAATATTCGTCTGCTTAATACATATTAACCCACATAATTATATATTCCGGAACTTTGACGCTTCGTAGCCTACTAATCAATATGGTGTGATCTATGCTGTCAAATGCCTTAGCAATATCTATAGTGTCACTAAAGCAAGGTCTTGGTTTTTATAGCGACCAAGCTTAACTCTACTTTCTAAGTCAACATGAGTGCAACATATCGAACAGCAAGGTCTGCATCCTCTTTGAATTTTCACCAAATATTAATTACTTCAAATAATTCTTCTAGATGCCTCCATAATAATTGCTCTATCAGCTTTACGAGATTCGAAGCGACGGGAACAGGCCAAATGTTATCTATGGCATACCCAGCCTCTTGTTTTTTTTAAGCGGTAATAATTTGGCTACTTTCTAATCTGGATGGATCCATGCATTCTATACAAAAAATTAGAAAAATAAATGACAACATTGGGGGATAATTCAAACTTTATTTTTATCATGGCTGTAGAGATATCTGGTCCCGGTGATGAATCCGAGAATGTCTATAATAAACACCTCTGTGGCTCCTTCTAATGTAACCGCCTTAGAGTCATTCGCTTTTTCTGTGGCAGGTATATCGCATAGGGTAACACTGATGGGAAGCGAAAGTCAAGCCCTTTCGCAACTGTATCAAGCAACTCTACTTATTCTGTGGACGATAAACAAGTTCAATCCAAATTTTCTGGTTGCGGGACCATCTTCCTATGTCGAAAGAACCGAAACAGCACTTTCTTAGTTTTTGTCTCTGGCATATAACTGTTCTGTTTTGGAGTTATAACAATCTTTTCCTTTTTCAAGCGTCTGTTTGAATGTAGCAGCAACATATTTATAGTCTTTCCAGTTACGTAGGCACTGGTTGTAAAGAAATTTCTTCCAAGCGGCTTTACGTCGCCTATATAGTCGTGATCACGGTCAGAATTCCACCGCGGCAAGTTACCACTACTTTTATTAGATTTCACAGAAAATTTAGTGCATTTGATACTGCCATAAAAAGACTGCATAAAGTTAGTGCCTTTAATAGGTCATTTAATCCTGTCAGTTCGTTCAAGAGTTATCGTAATGAGTCCCTATGTTTAGTATATTTAACATAGTTTTTACCTTGTTTATTGAAGTAGGTGCGCACATGACTTCAAAAAGTATTGGCATACACCGTCATTGTTTGGGCCCGATGTGACAGCAGACCAGGATGAAATGACATAACCAGCACATACGAACGTCAACTGAAACACAGAACGTGATAGGCCAGATACATAGGTTGGGGTGCTTGAGTTCACACAATGAAAACCATTCAATGTGATCCATTCTGACAGCCTTTTACCCCAGGCATCGGATCGGTAACTTGACAACGTACTTTCGAAAATACTTAAATTTGCTTTTCTTTTCATCAGAAAACAACAAATGTTTGAATCAAATATTTAACCCAGCTGTCTTCGTAGAAACGATTGATATACACATTTACGTATTGTTGTATATAGCAATTTTTATCCCCCCTCTATTATGTTCAGTCTTTTTGACCTCATTCCTCCAATTGACTTATTACCTAATGAGATAAAGGAGGCAAGCGCTAGTGTATAGCTTCGGTGTGTAGGGAGAAGTTTCCCTTAAGCAGTACGTCAGTCGCGGCAAGCCGGCTTCAGAAAAAAATATTAAGGGCGCCGGTGGCTCGAGGCGGCCAGAACTCCAAGGGACATCGGCTAGCAGGACGCCGCTGCTAACGCTTCTATTTGGCGTCTCGTCTCCATCCTCGGCTGTCAGCCTTCGACTCTGCAATGAAAGAGCATGGACGGCACGTCCACGTCCGATTTGCTACATTGCAACAGTCGTTTTACAAACCCCTCCGGAAGCACTCGATGAGTACCCTATTCTAAGAGCACAAAGAGAGAGAGATGTATCTAGAAAGAGAAATCGGTCGGCGAAAAAAGGAAGCCAAACGATGTAGTCCTTGCGTTCTTAGGCCTAGCTGGGGGGGGGGGGGATACAACGTTGTTTGTAGTATCCAGGCAGTTCTTGTTGTAAAGAAATCAGTATTTATCATGAACTGAGTTAGAATAAATGAGGTAATGATACAACACAAATATCTGTATGAAGAAATAAAAAAGAACCTAATTTCAAGCTCCAATACGTTGTACAGATTGCGCCTGGGGGATGTGGAAGATGAAGAAGACGTTCGCTCACGAGGCGCTGGCTCACGAGTCCACCGTGCTCTCGAGGAAGCGCTAGCCACGCTTCGTCGGCTTCTATTCTTTTGCGCACGAGACTCGATGCAGCGCTACGTGTCGCCAGCTCCATTCCAGCAATGTACTCGACTCTGCCGCAGTTTACCGTGCCTCTGGAGCCCCCTTCGCCCACTGGTTCTTCCTGTTATACCGGGATTGCTCTCTGCCGTGGTCCGCACAGCGCTGGTATCCAGAGTCCATCTTCAGTCTCGCTCAAGCCTTCGTTGATCCAGGCACAACTTGTAGGACTGTCGGCCGCGCTCCCGCCCGAATCTGTTGCCGAAAGATTCGAACATCCACCAGCAATCCAGCCGATGACATCAGTCACCTTCGTTGCAAGCTTTCCACACCGTCATCGAGTGCAGCACTCCGGGCAGTCTTGACGTTCGAGCTCGCCGATGTCACCGACGACAGACTCAACTCGGTGCACCTGCCGTGGTGAGTCCCGACTAGTCTGCATTCAAGTCTGTGGCATGGGTCTTCGGCAACACCACCACTTCGGTTGGCGTCGCCAAGAGCTTCACCTGGAGTGGTGCTGCTCAAACTTCGAGCTCGGCGGCACGAACTGGCGCCTGCCACAGTGTTGTCGTCGGCCTCTGGTATCTGTCTACCGCTGCCTGGGATATCGTCACTTGATTTTATTCTCAACCTGCGACGGGGACATCTTATCTACTGATGTAATTCGATGTTCCTGTTTGATTGTTGATTTCAAATGTGTTGGTTAATTGTAAGCATCTAAGTGAGTATAATAAACATGTGTCTCCTCTACTTCAATGCCTAGATGCTTACTCACAGCCAAAAGTTCATCTCTTAGCATTGCCTTCCACGCCATGAATGCCGTTATACTTTGGTCCTGCATTTCACACATAATTAGGTGATCCCTACAACGCAAAACTCAGAAAAGGTAATCTCCCTAATTCACACACAATCCAGCTTCTAATATACTCACACAATTGAAGTCTGGAAAGTCAAAGCAAAGACCAAGCACTCACCACAGCACAGCACCACGTCGTGAAGTCCATCTCACCGCTGCCAACCAGTTGTAAAAGTTGGAAAGGAAGGTCGCTGATGGTTACGCAAAACAAAACAAGGTTTATGTCATTATTTACACATATTTACAGCAAAGAAAGCTTAGGGGTTTCCCAAACCACGAGCGTGGTGGTTGAACGTTACATAGTTCAGAGCGACGTCCAGCACTCTACGGCGTCGTTTTAAGCCCTGTCGGGCTCCTCCTCACCGAGTGGAACACCAATCACACACACACAACAGGTGAGGTGGATGAACATGCACGGTCCACGTGAACGTCCAAGTTTGAGTTGTGAACACTGCACTGCAAGGTGGCGCCAGCAGGGCTCTTCCTCGTCGTCTGTGTGCCGCTAGTCGAGAGTTTCCACGATCCTGGCAGCATACTTCAAAGGGTCCGCCGATTTGTTCGCTTCATTAGCGGGGTGATTTGCGGGGGCCGCCGCGGTCTCTTCCAGGAAGTTGCTGTCATTGTTGGCCTCTCTCGAACGGCTAACGGCGTCTTGGCGACACGATGTCTCGTCCTCCGGCTAGCACGTACAATGCCTGGCGAGCATAGGCAGTCGGCCGGTCGGCTTGGTGATTAGGCACGCTGCTGTTTGAAGGGACGACAAAAGGGTCCGCATTTGAAGGACGGGAACTCGCCTTTGCTTCCTGCTTGGTCTGGATAATTGCTCAAATCTTCGGCAGTGTCTGTTAGACTGGGCGCCGAAGGGATTGAGAACCTCCCCAGTGAATGCGCTTACGCACAAAGGCGTCTGCCCAGACGAATTTCCAGGCCAAACTTCACAGTAGGGAGAAGTTTCCCTTAAGCAGTACGTCAGTGGCGCCCAGCCGGCTTCAGAAAAAATATTAAGGGCGCTGGTGGCTCGAGGCGGCCAGAACTCCAAGGGACATCGGCTGGCAGGACGCCGCTGCTAACGCTTCTATTCGGCGTCTCGGCTCCATCCTCGGCTGTCAGCCTTCGACTCTGCAATAAAAGAGCGATGACGGTACGTCCACGTCAAATTTGAAACATTGCAACAGCCCTTTCGCAAACTCCTGCCGAAGCACTCGATGAGTACCCTATTCTAAGAGCACAAAGAGAGAGAGAGATGTATCTAGAAAGAGAAATCGGTCTGCGAAAAAAGGAAGCCAAACGATGGAGTCCTTGCGTTCTTTGGCCTAGTTGGGGGCGGGGGGGAGTGGATCCAATGGCGTTTGTAGTATCCAGACAGTTCTTAATTTAAAGAAATGAGTATTTATTATGAACTGAGTTAGAATAATTGAGGTAATGATAACACAAAAATATCTGTATGATGAGATAAAAAAGAACCTAACTTAAAGCTTCAATACGCCGTACAGATTGCGCCTGTCGGATGTGGAAGACGAAGAAGACGTTCGCTCACGAGGCGCTGGCTCACGAGTCCACCGTGCTCTCGAGGAAGCGCTGGCCACGCTTCGTCGGCTTCCATTATGTTGTGCACGAGACGTGATGGAGCACGTACGTGTCGCCAGCACCATTCCAGCCATGTTCGACGCTGCCGCAGTTGTCCGTGCCTCTGGAGCCCCCTTCGCCCGCTGGTTTTTCCAGTCATACCGGGATTGCTCTCTGCCGTGGTCCGCACAGCGCTGCTATGCAGGGTCTACCTTCAGTCTCGCTCAAGCCTTCGTTGAGCCAGGCACAACTTGTAGGACTGTCGGCCGCGCTCCCGCCCGAGTCTGTTGCCACAAAATTCGAACACCCACCAGCAATCCAGCCGATGACATCAGTCACCTTCGTTGCAAGCTTTCCACACCGTCATCGAGTGCAGCACTCCGGGCAGTCTTTACGTTTGAGCTCGCTGATGTCACCAACGACAGACTCAACTCGGCGAACCTGCCGTGAGTCCCGACTCGTCTGCATTCAAGTCTGTGGCATGGGTCTTCGGCAACACCACCACATCGGTTGGCGTCGCCAAGAGCTTCACCTGGAGTGGTGCTGCTCAAATTCGAGCTCTGCGGCACGTGTTGATCGCGAACTGGCGCCTGGTGCAGGCGCCAGTTCGAGAACACGGGCACCTGCCAGTGTTGTCATCGACCGGTGGTAATGCTGTCGACCGCTACCTGGGATATCGTCGCTTGATTTGATCCTCAACCTGCGACGACGACAACTTATCTGCTGATGTAATTCGACATTCCTGTTTGATTGTTGATTTGAAATGCGTTGGTGAATTGTAAGCATTTAAGTGAGTATAATAAACATGTGTAGCGAATTTTCGTTCGTTTTGCCTTGCGATCACCGCATGAAAAGCACTCCGAATTCACCGGTAGTATGTTGACCTATGTATCACTGGCGCAGCAAGGTGCGGAACGGGAGAGTTTGGTTTTGTTAGACTCAACGGCAGCCCCCGAAAATTTTCGATATTGCTTGGGTACGCGTGCAAACGCAAGCATGAACATCCATCCAGTATACATTATTAACGCACCCCTCCCCGCAAAAAGAAATCTGGCTTTCCCTTATTACGTATACAGGGCTATTACCGAGAACACTGCTCTGCGTTATACTTATTTATTTATTATTTATTCTTTTATAAGAATATTTGCTTATAATTACTAATGAACAACTATTTGTCCCTCGTTAAAGGCAAGGAACTACTTGGAATGGTCCTCCTGTACCCTATGAGCCCACTCGATCGAGGATGCCCTCCTGAATGCCGGGCTTCGAGCTGCGCAAGGCAGCCTGCCACTGCACCTCACTTAAAAAATCACAGCATTTCCACGGACTGAATGATGATGAGTGGGGTTAAGCGCCCGTCCGTTCGTTTGTGCATCAGTTCTTCTGTCCAACCGCGGGTCGATCTGTCCGTCCAGGCGTCTGTCCGTCTATCTGTATGTCCACCCGTCTAGCGAACACTCCAAGTACCACCATCTCGCATATTTTCATCATATATTGATTATATACAAGTACCACCATCTAGCAGATATTCCAAGAACTAAACGAGAGGTGGCTACTTACTACATACATCGAGGACGCACGACCCCCGGTTGAAGGCGCTTCGACATTCCAAGAACTAAATGAGATGCGGCTACCTACTAAATACATCGAGGAAACACGACACGTGGCTTAAGGAGCTTCGCCCCTAAAAGTTTATCCCCTGTGGCACATACCCGCTCTCTTGGGTATGTGCCACCGGCGGTTACAACCGATAATGGGAGACGAACGAGTGACGCCATAAGGAGCTTCGCCCCTGAATTTAGGTGTTTATGAAAGGGTTGAGAGGGTGCTTAGGGCAGCGCCCCATGATGAGGTTTAAGTCTGCTGTGGAAGAGGCGCAGAATGTACAAGAGGGAGGGGGTATCAAGACAGATCAATGAGGTGTAAGACGTAAAGGGAAGGAAAGGTAGAGTCTGCAGCAGGGCGCAGCAGAGTTTGGCACCTCGGTGGAGATTCGCGCGTGAGGGGCGGGCAATCTTAAACGTTGTAATCGGTAGACAGTATAAACAACATGGAATGAAATAGGCCGATTCCACGCTGTACACGGTGCCTCCTCTGCAGCGAGTGGCCACACATCGGATGATGGTTCCCGGACTGTAAAACCTCGGGCACAAGCATGAGGCGCCTCGTTTCCGGCAAGGCCCACATGCAGAGGAGTCCAGAATATCGTTACAGTTTGATCGAGAGGATGGGTCAAAAGCAGGGAAAGTACTGCCTCACACACCCTGCCCGCTCCGAAACCAAAATTATGTTACGAGAAGGAGACGCAGATATATCTGTACAGCTGGTTAAGCGAGCAGCGCCAGCGATACCCATTAGCTCGCGCCAGTCTATCTACTTTGTCCTCTTCATATCCATGTCACTGTTACTTGGCAATATATGCGACTGTTTTGGAGTCACTCACTGCAGCCGACAAATTAGGGATAGTGAGAGCCAGGGCTATGGCCGCCTCTTCCGCTTCCTCCGAAGAAGACGCAAGAGCGAAAAATTTCTCGCTATAGGATAGTATTATTACTACTGCGCTTTGATGTTCTTTTTTTCATTGAGTTACAGATCAAGAGCTCGCCTGAAATACTTTAAAGCTAACACGATACTGACACGGCGTTGACAGTCGGGATTTACTACTATCGGGGAGTATGTCCGATACAACGAAAATGCCAGGCCTGCGGGGAAAGCGCAGCATGGACACGGCGAAAGCGGAAACAGTGGCATTTCTAGAATTTGTTGCAATCTCTGTTGGGGATACTAATACATGTACGTTTCCAAAGAACCCACTAAACCATCAATCATAATTTTCGTCTAGTTAGTAAGCACCCTATACGCCATTAATTATATTCACTTTGCGGACAAGCGTGGTACCTACTACGCATTTGCGTATGCGGTGGTATGGCGCTGAAAAATTCTGACTGAGCCCTTTATAATAGGTCTGCAGCATTCACCCACCCACCCGTTACGCAATTCGCCTTGAGTTACGTCTGCTAAGAGTATTAGCATTTTATGGCACTGGTGTTTATTTTATACTTCTACCACGCTTTACTGCAGAAGATAACACGGCTCTTCTCTTAGATAACGCATGTAGGGGATCTTTTTGCAACGCAGTTTCGATCACCGGCACGGCTCTGTGGTAGACTGTTGGACATCAAGGAAGACGAACCATGTTTGAAACCCATTCTAACAAGAGTATTTTCTTTATTTTGTTTTTCTCTTTTTATTTCGAGCGACAGCGGCCCTTGTGATCTCGTAGCAGCTTTCTCTGTAACATACTAGGCTTATCAGAGCGCAACAACGGCATATTTTGGCGCTGTAGTTGTCCGCCGGCGGTGTCCGTTACCGCTATCACGCGAAAAAAGAAACAAAAATTAGACGGTTATAGTATACCGGGCATACCGTGATAACGGTATCCAAGTGCGAATGCGCAAATACGCACGTTACCCGTACCGCTTACCGTAAAGCGCGCTATTTTCCAGATTTAACGTCACCTCGTTAATGTAGGTGTAGGTAACGTAAAACATGGTGGCGCTCTCGGACGCCCGCTTCTGGCATAATTGTTGAAAGATTCACTTTGTTCGCAGCAAACGACTCTTTAAAGTGGCTTCGCTTGCCTTCAGTTAGCTTCGACGACCGAGTATTACGGATAAGTTGGCGTAGTTTTTGAGATAGCTTTTCATTTCGAACGTGTCTAGGCCTCACTGCAAGATCGATGTAAGCAAATCGGCAACATAAATGTTTTCGCGTTTGGTGCGTGCTTCATATTTATTTACTTTCATTATTACTAAAATAAACTTGTAACGATGTTTTGCGCGGTGACACAGGCAGATATTCTCGTTTTCTTTTCCTTTTCCCTGTTTTTACTTCTAAGCCCTCCGATAGGCGGCGCCACTATCCAAGCTGGGGCTCGTAAACGCTATTCCGCTAAACTATAAGACGCTTTCCGCCACGAACGTTTGCTACACGGTAACGCCATCCCCTTAACTTCCGCCTTCACGCTAACGGTAAACTCTAACTGTCTACTAAAAAAAAATTCTCACGCTTCAACGGCATTAGAACACGGATCCTCTGTATACACCTATATACGTAACCGTGCGAGTTAATTTTTTTTTGCTAAAATAAATGTGAGATTATAACGTTAAACTACCCCGCTCTGTTTCTCTCCGTGTAGGTCGTTAGCTGTTAATGACTGGTAGAAAGTTTCTGTGTCATGCTAACAGCACCTACTCGTAACACGGCAGAAGAAATGACGCCCTAGTGATCGTCGCGTTATGACCGCTTGCTCATGAATGTGAGAGAGAGAGAAAAGGTATTTCATTGCTGCATATTGTCGGTCATTGCTTCTTCGATATTCGTCAAACATTTTTGGTGAGCCATAAAATCGCCTGCTTGCTACCTGACGCCACAAAGCCTTTGCTAAAACTCGCGGTGTTAAAATGAAGTGTCCGCAATAAACAGTATATTACTGTGCTCTACAATAACAAACCTTTTTTGGAATAACCAGACAGTAAGTACTGTGACTGAATAAAGTTGTCCGCCAATCAGATTTGCAGCGGTTACTTATAACAGCTGCGAGATATATTCATATGCGTATGATATATATATATATATATATATATATATATATATATATATATATATATATATATATATTATATATATATATATATATATATATATATATATATATATATATATATATATATATATATATACTTTCAGTTTTACTATAACGGTTGTTGAGCATTTCATGCGCGTATGCAACTCTGTTGTGATCTCATTCTCTCCGAGAAAGAGGGAGGAAGAAAAAGAAGCTTTGTTATTAACAGGCACAGTCATTCGAAGGTGGGCAGCCATCTTAGACCAGAAAACTATGGACGCTGATCACCCTTTATGGCCAGATAGCTAAAATTACGGGGCAACCTTGAAAGCTGGGCTCCTCAAAGTGCTTGAATAAGCTGCCTTATTTATTGCCTTGTTTCAAGCCACCACGATCACTGCGAGCTATCGTACAATGAGCAAGGTGAAACAGGTTAATCGAAGACTAAAGCGAGAACATTGTTCAGCTCCTATGGCTCGGCCCAACAAAATTACGCAACGCTTCTGCGCACTCATTAATTCGCAGCAGCTTAGATATGGGGCACCGGGGATGCTATTCATTTTCAAAGAAATTAAGTTTTTTTTTTAACAGGACGAAAGTTTGATCGCCCAGAAAAACCAGCCTGTATTTACGTCACAAATTGCGTAAATGGGCTTGGCAGAACAAAACAAAATTCAGTCGTGACAAACTGCTCCATGCAGAAGTCATGGCACATTGCTCTATGCTCGCAAATTCACTTCAGCTAAACGGGCCACATTCCAGAAATTTTACCCTTGAAAAAGACCAAGGCACCATGACGAAGGTGTGGCGAAGACTACAGTTTGTGCAAAATGCCAGCTATAGCGTTGCCACTCGAAATACCTAATGATTCGCAAAGGGGTGCTACATCTCTCCACGTAGTTGCACCTTTATAGCTGTACATCTTCGCATGAAATTGTGTGGAAGGCGATGACACACTGAGCATAAGGAGATATAGCGTCGCGTTCGGAGACGCACCGCATGCGATACGTCATCGGTAAATTACGCCACACAAGTAATGTGTCGTTTATCGCACGCTATATGGCT